AACACCTGGCTTTGACTTAGCCTAAGGAGTCCCTTATGGGATGGATTTTTCCCAACTTTTCCTGCTCTTCCTCACCCTCTTGCAACTCAAGCATAAAGAATAGCCTTGTTTGTTCTAGAATTTGTACCTGCTTCTGGTGATTGACAATGTTTTCAAACTCAAAGTAATTTTAGTGAGTGTTAGAACTTCCAAAGGATAAAAATACATACCCAAAAGCTTCATTTATATTCACTGAAATTTGAATCTATTTGGTGGCATAGAAAGCTGAGCTGTCTGCAACACCTTAGCAGAAGAAAAAACACAGATGAAAGGAGAAATCATGGCACTAAGGATTTTACATTTCTTCTGCACTTTGATGTTCAGCTTTCACTCCACTCCTCACCCGAAGCAAGCTAACACCATGGTGTGTGACTACATGCTTCTAAGTGGTAGAATCTGCCTCCAGGCACCCTTTATAGTCTTCCTTGCTACACTTGAAAAATCGTTGGCCTCCCCAGCATCTGTTTGAGTGACAACAACTAATGCTAAAGAAAGAGAAAGGGCATCCTAAAGGCAATTTTGTCAACTAAAAATCATACATGAGGTTTTTTTTATGGTCTGTGAAGAGAAAATTAAAAATAAGTCATAAAAACATAATGATCGAAGAGATCAAAGAAGGAAGAAAAAGAGGGGAAAGTAACTCTGACACACTTTAAAGGCAGAAACCCCTGCAGAAAAGGAGGTATGAAGGCACAAATGAATCTGCATGGCATCCTGGCACCACACTGTTAAAACTTCCCTTAAGACAGCAGCTTATATAGCACTGCTACAGAAAAAAAAGACAGCATTCCTGCAGGGATATTGGCTGAATAACATGGCAGTGTTTCTATGTTAAAAAAAAAAAAAAAAAAAAAGCAACAAAAGATAAAAAATAAATCCTCAAATAAGATCTTCATTAAATGACATAGGGTTTTTTTTTTTTTTTTTTTTTTTGTTTTTTGTTTTTTGTTTTTTGTTTTTTTGGATTGTGCAGCTTTTAGTTTACATTTGGGTCACGCTTTCCAGCTCTTCACAATGGAGCATCAACAACTGAATGGAATATGAGGTTTCTGAATAATAAGAATATCCCATGGTGTAGCACATTAATTAAAATGCCAAAGATAAAGAGGTTTGTCAATAAAACCAGGCTCGATAGCACAAGGTGTGGCAAAACTCCGAAAAATGTGACTTTGCTTTCCGTCCTCTGTCCCAGCTGTTACCGTGGGTTTTTGTCCTTGAGCACAGTGGGGTTGGTATCTAGAAGCTGCTGTTGAAAAGAAACATATAGGCAGAGTTTGAATAATTATTTCTTTTAAAGCTGGAGTCACCCAGGGCCAGGACCTACTAATGAGAGGAAGAACACAGAGGAGAAAGAGTTTTGAACTGTATGGCTGGAGACTCCTTGTTTATCGCTCATGAGAAGCTAACCTCATGGTGAGCGTCTGTTTCTCCTCAGCAGACGAGGTCTCACCAAGGCTCTTTAACCAGGGGGGACATTACTTGAGAAGTTTTGTGGGAATGTTTGTCCTGCACAAGGGAACGAGCGTGACTATTTTGAAGGAATAAAATCTCAGGTAACCAACTGTCAGTTGTCTTATGTATTTATGATTATGGATTACATGTCAGGTCAACATGTCATTAATAGATTATTCTTTCATTAAAATCAAAACTATTTACAACATCCTTGTTGTGTGTGTGGATGTCATACATAAACACTATATAAGAATCCCCATCCACATTACTCAAAATACAAGTTGATAAAGCTTTTGGGAAGCAGGTAGAAGTTACTTTTTGCGTCTCAACACACTGAGAAAAAAATGACAAAATGTGCTTACAATTATGATCAGATAATTTTTGGCAGGCTTAACTACTACCTTCTCCTTCCCATTTATTTCTGAGTTGTTCATTTGTGAATGCACCAGTTTGACAGCCCCAAAGACAGGGAGCAGCTGTTTGCCTATAAAGGAAATATATTTACAACATTCACTTCCACAAACTGCTCCCGAAAGAGTGCTTCAGTCACACACTTGAGGGCTAACAAGAGGATCAGTAATGTAAAACCCCCAGCATCTTGCCAAGAGTACTAATGAAGCAGCAATTTACCAGTGAATGGTTGGAATTGTATCAGGTTTTGCAGTCTATTTCTTTTACTAGAAGTGCAAGGAGACAACTAGTTCAGGCTTCTGAGTCACTTCCAAGCCCACAAGCGTTACTGTAACTAATGTAGTTTTGTTGGTGATGTGCTCAGATTGTTGTTTCACAATTCTGGTAACTACTTTGCAATACTTTGAAAACTAAGCAAAGTAATTTGAAAACGAGGCTGATTGTTAGCATTCTGACATTAGCCATCATAGCCAGTAATTTTAGCTAATAAACTCCCCAGTTTACTAAAAACTGTTCACCAGAATTGTTTAAGTTACGGTATTATTTGGAGTCCTTGGATTGATGTTTGAAGCAACGTGTAAAGCTGACATGTATTTGATGATTCTTTGCCTTCCCTCACAAGCAGCACTCCAAGCTGTGGGAGCAGTGAGTGGCCCAGCCTATGCAGGCTGGGCTATGCAGGCTAAGGCAGCTGACCTGTCCCAGCACGAACACGGAGCTGCTAATGGCTCTTCCTGAGCCTGCATCCAGCACATGGGGCCCACAGTGTGGGCAGCTGCCCCCACCTCTAGCGTAGCGATGAGCTCCAAAGAAAAATCTTTTTCTTCGACTGCTTGTCTGAGGCTCAGCCAAATGTCTTTGTCCTTCCTTTGTTTTTAAACTGCCGAAAGTCAACTCAAAATGAGCTTGACGTCTCTCCAGCCTCGATGCTCAGCTGAGTCCTGCTTCTCTCGGCTGCCCGGGCAGTTGCCGTGCACGGAGAGACGCCGGCTAGGAGCTAACGAGTGCCGCTTCCCAACCGCCTCCCTTCGCACAGAACCGAGCGGCAGAAGCGGAGGGAAGGCGGCCAGAGCTCTGCGTTAAAGCTCTGCTCTCGGGGGAGCAGCGGTTCCAGCTCGGCTCACGGGCCCGGGGCGCGAGCGAAGCGCGGCCGCCCCCTGCTGCCCGCAGCGCGCCATGCCGGCCGAGGATCGCCTGCAGCAGTTCGGCACGCGAAAGCTTGCCTTGTGCGACATTGCTCTCGCTGCACTGCTGAATGCTAGCGTGAAATACTTCCATCTGCTGTTTGTCTCATTTTCTCTCACTGTAATTTTGACAGCAGTTGTGCGTTGTTGTTTTTTTTTTTAAAAAATTTTTCTTTGATGTCAACTGGAAGTAAATGCTGTCGGGTTGTATCTTTAATAGGGAAAGAGCCTGCAGAAGGTTCAGCTGAACGTGCTGTTACACACGTGACCAAGTTCAACAGCAAGATGGGATCAGTCAGGGTATTATTGAAACCATGAGTAAGGCTCTTGCACCGAATGGCTGACTCACGATCAAACAAATGCTTTTTGCTATATTAGAGGGCTGTTTGGGAAAAGTGCCAAAATGAGATTATGATTTGGACAGGAAATTAGGTTCTGTAGTAACCCAGATACATTTGTAAGCCCTCTGGCTCTGGTGGTGCACTTTGATGCCGGCCTCACCACAGCTGTTCTATCTTCCACTGCACATGTAGATCTGAGCCACCTGTGTGGTGATGGCACAGAACAGCGTTCCAGATACCACAGCTGTGCATCAATCACATGGCTGGAGCAGGGCACTGCCCTTCAAAGTTGTGTCACAGCTCTGCCACTAAGTCCCATCCCTTAACCTGTCAGCGAATGCTTTCCACATCTAAAGAGCTCAAAGTGTTCTGCTTCATAGAAATCAACCTGTACTTGGAAGGTATTTCACAATATTCCAGTGAGAAAGGCTATGTAGCACTCTGGTAACAGGTAACAATGGTATGCCTTCTGGATTCTACATAATAAGTGAGATACAGAGCTAACTGTGGGCTTCTGTATGTACCAGATAAAATAGCATTAATAAGATAACTGAAAAGTGGCTGAATCAAGTCACTCGTCGTGGAAGAGCATGGTGAGTGGAAAACCCACTCATCTGCTGGGCTCACAAAGTAATGAACACTGGTTTGAAATCCATATAGCACTGGGTTACTAATGGCATTCCTCAGAGGTGGATACTGGGAGGTATTTAAAATGTGATCAGAGAAGGCTCAGAGTATCTTGTTCTAACCCTCAAGTTTTCCTTTTTCATTAAAGTTTTCCCTTATAAGGGGTTGGGTTGGATCAGAGATCTCCAGAAGTCAGTTCCACCCTAAATTATTCTGTGATTCTGTGATAAAAAAGAGTGGTGAAGAACAGCTTCACTCAGAATGTTGCTTGAAGGGAGAGAAACTGCAGTCAGCTGTATCCACACCCTGAGGATCAATGGAGGGCAACTGCATAAACAAGATAACATGGTTTGCAAGAGGGCAGAACAACATCAGATAAGTTCTTCTGCTTTCCTGAAATTAATTTAATGATACTTATGTTCCACGGAGATAGCATGAACACACACTTTCTTATTCCAAAATCAAACACATGAAGTGGCTTGTAAGGACAGCTGAAAGGAAGAAATAGGGCAAGCATTTTCAAAAAATGCTTTGTTCTGCATTTTCAATCTGAACCAATGTTCAATTTTCTCATATATCATAGACTACAAAAAAGGTATCAATGTGCAGCTTCTAGGTCAGTCAGCATGTCTAATCCATATATGACCTGACATTCTTACCGCAGAGTTTCACTATTAGTCATTGTCTTCGCACAGAGATATATTAGTTGCTTGGGTTTTTTGTTTTGTTTGTTTTGTTTTATTTGTTTGTTTTTACTGGTGCTGTCATTTTGCTCTAAAGTATGTGGGATGTATATAAATACCACAGAACAGATATTGGTACTCATCCTCCCAGAAAGGGAGAGGCCAAAACAGAACAGAGATTGTGGTGCTGTAACACATCTATTTTGGTTCCTGCTTGTTATGTTGGAAGAGGTGGTGGTGCAAAGAGCAAGCAGGGGCCAAGTCAGTATATTTAAGAAGGGAATGATTGTTCTGCATAGGGTATGGAGCTGCCTATGAGCAGAAACTAATCAGCATTTCAAGAACCACCTGCATGAAGTCCTTGCTGCAGCAGGAAGTACAACAATCCTAATCATTTTTCTTCAGTAAGTGTAGAAGAATTGCCAATGATTAAGCAGTAGGTGAGAGAATGTGTGGCTAATCCATGGAGCTCAGGTGCAAGCAAATGCCTGGCTCCACCCTTCCTCACCCTCACTTATTAGCAGCTGAGGGAGCAGTATTCTTCTGGGTAGAGATTACATTTCTCTGGAGCTGTCACTGGTTATTAGAAGAGGTGAGCTATCTTTTTTCTTTGTTACTTGCTATGGTTCCATAGTGTCTGCATCTTTTTAGAAAGCACTGTTGTTACCTTCTTTTGCTGTACAGTAAAATTTTATTATTGTTTTATTATTTCTAAAGAAAGAGAGAAGAGGGAAATACTGCCTGGGAAGCTAATTGTTGGATATGGGAAGAGGGGGATGAAGGCAAATGAATGTAGAGGAAACAAGGTAGAGAATATCAAAGTACAAAATGACTGACAGAAGTAGACTGACTGAATGTGTGCATAACAGAGGTCATGTCATGGCTCATGTTGGTTCAGAAGAAAGCAGTGTACTTGCTGTATGCCATGTCCTACAATTTAGTAAAGCCCTGTAGTTTCGTATGGCTTGTAGCAATGCATAGCATAGGCTGAATTAGATGTGTGTCTCTGAATCATAGCTATTCCAAGTGCTGTTGGAGCCAAAAAGCTGGGTTGAAGAGATGCATGGGTAGTCAACAGCTAGAGAAATGGAATGGTGGTATTTAAACACAATGCTGGGTGTTAGTTCTTTAATGATCTGGAAGATTAGGGAAGAAGACTAGGACATCTACGCAAAAGTATTAATTTCTATAGTAAAAAATTTCCAGGGCAACTGGGAAGAAACTTTATTAAATAATAGTGATAGAAGCCAATGAAACTAATAAGTTCTTGCCCCTAGACATGTTTCTTATGAGGAAAAATCTAGACTCAAGTCTTCCTTCTATTTTGCAACAAATGCCATTTGTTCTTTTTCTGAAAGAGTGCGTGACTTACATTTTTCTTTCTAGCTTCCCCAGCCACATACATTTCCCTTCAATATCAACTTTTTTATACCCTTAGTATGCTAGGTAGTTATTCTGGGAGATAGTAATAATTACACCCTGCTGTTCACCACATCTGTTTATGAGAAGAACTGTGTTTTCTGCATGATCAACTCTGCTGCTGTAGACATCAGATGCTTATCACAAAATGGCTGCGAATGCTAAGACTGAACTTACAGCAACACATACTTTGAATGCATTAAAGTACTCTTGGAAGCATTCATCTCTGAGTGGATGCTAGTGGCCAGAAAAGCACTATTTTATATCAGTATCTTGGTTTAACTCAGCTTTTCGTCCACAAGTTGGCAAGTCATTCAAATGAGAGTGATTTTTAATTATACTATAGCTTTAGAAATGCTAGAACTCAGAATTATATCTAAAAGCAAGTCTCTTCTCTTTTTCATTCCCTTTGCAAAATTCCCAAGCTCAAGACATCATAATGAGTGTATGTTTTTTCAAACTACTCTAAACCAATACTTTAATAGCCTGTTTGGGATTTGTTTAACATCTTTAACCAAGAGTGATGAGCAGGAACTACTTGCAGCTGCAAATGTGAGTTACAGCTTGCAACCCCACATGCAGAATTATTTTAGATGCACACTGATCAAAGAATCAAAGCTACCACGTTGGGGCACTGAGCTACACACTCAAGCACAACAGTTCTTTTTCTGCTGGGCCTTGGTGTTACTTTGCCTTCTCTGGAGAACTCTGGAGAGGCACAGTTTGTTTTAATCTAAAAAATGTTCAGTTTCCTGAGGTCATTGAGATATGGTACAGTACTGCCTCATGACTGAAAGAAAATACCTGCATTAACTCCAGATGGGGCATGAAAGCACTAAAAAAACCTCTAAAATAAAACAAAGCAAATGTCCACAAAAACATTACCAACACAAGTGCTATATTTTCATAAATATATAAATAAATTACCTCATCCAAATTAATGCCTGGTTATTAGCTTTTTCATTATTTCTAGCCATAGGCTGAATATCTAGCTTCAAAACATAAATGGAAATTATTAAAGACAGGCATCTGAAATATATTCAGATTATTTTATCAATGGAGAAGGCGAATTGCCTACATTTAACTTTCCTTCTCTCTCAGTCAATCTATACAGCACCAGGATACTTTAATGCTGCCTCACCATTTTTTGTTTGTACTCCAACTAAAACCTTCATTCTTTCCTGTGAGGAGCTTAAGCATTTGGAAAACTACACCTGTATTACTTGGTAGGAATGTGTGGTAAACACATTCTTTAAATTAGGAAAAAATACTGCTTGTAATTCTGAAACTAATACAGAAATGATCCACTGGGAAGGTAAGAGTTCAGGTGGTGTAACTGCAGATAATCTCTTTAAAATTATTTGCTTACTTTATGGAGTGCTCTGTAACAGAGAGAGATTTTCTGTTACCCTTAACATGGCCCCATTTTTCCTTACAGAAACAGTTTCTAAAATCCAGAAGAGTCTCACAGCACAGTGCAGTAGATACAAGCCAAACATTTTTTTGGCTTCAGCCTGCTGTACCGCGCTGTGTGATACTTTGGCTTTGCTCTGCTGAAGCACAGAACAGTTTCCAAGCTGCGAAGTCTTTCCACAGCCCCCATATGAGCAAAAGTAATCAGATTCTAAGCTCAATACTGTTTCACATCAGCCGACTCCATTAGTATATTTCAGAAAGCTTCAGTCAGAAAGCAACAAAGAACATGCCCATAACCTAATTACATGTCCATACATTTGCCAAACTACCCAGACATCTCTGGAAATGCTAAGCACAAGGAGAAGTCAAATCCCCAGTTGTGCAGTGCACAGGAAAGGTGCTGAACTTTTCAGGTGTGTGTTCCAAATGCTTAATGAGAAATAGAACCTGTGTGCACTGAGAATAAGTCGATGTGTCAATTTATCAATATCCACAGTTCTGTCTCATAATATTATGAAACCAGAGGAAGCTACTTATTGTTGAGAAAAAAAGCTGTAAGTTTACAGGAAAAAATGAATATTCCCAATGAGGAGTCAGACTTCTTGTTTGTTTTGAAAAACTATTTTCTATTGAAAATGATTAATTGTAAATAGAATATTTAAACAGAATGCCAATGGGAGGATTCTGTCCTGAAATCTTTAAAATACATTCACTACTGGGAGCAGTTTGGACTGCTTGCTTATGAAAGAACAAAATTCTTGGATACTTAAGTCAAGATGCACTGTGTCAATTTAAACAATATAAAGTTTAGCATTTCTTGCTACTGTTGCTTTTAGGAACAATTTATTCATTCCATCCATCCATTTCTCCCTCAGGAGGCGAAGAGGGGCTATTGAAAGTGTGCAGTCAAATGTGAGGAAGAAACCTTTTCAGATGACAATTGAATCTTGATACCACAAGTGTCTGAATATGAAGTGTCCACTTCAAAAAGTTACAATGGAAAAGCTAATCTCATGTCTTTTTTTTGTCCTCAAAAATATTTGGAGTGGTATTTGTTAATTCCTGATACCTCTTTCCATCTCTCTCGTATGTTTATATATAGATGAATGTGTGAGTTTGGTTTTCAAAATCATTTCAGATTCAGTTTTTTTTAAGAAAGAACTGAAAAATATAAAGGAGAAAAAAAATGTGGACTGTAAATGCTAGCCAAGTATTTTAGCGTGAAATGTCTCTCCACAGTGACTGGTAAATCAGCCAAATTTCACAACAAAATTAGAAACATTTTACTTAAGAAGTCTGGAAATGAAACAGGATTTTTTTGTCCCTGTGTTCTTGTCTTCCTCTTTTTCTGCAGAAACTATTTAGTCATATCCACTTCACACATGATATGATAATAAGACTTTTTGCATGACCTTCAGTTAATAGGCTTCACTTGGCCTTGGAGATGATTCCAGTAATTTTACACTATACAGTATGTTTCTGTCCATCCCCTTGTGAGCTTTGAAGTCCTTCATTTTTTGTTAGAGACTTGTTCTCCTATGGAATGAATTCTGGTCAGAAGGATGACATTTCAAATGAGAGAATGATTCCTTTTCCCAGGAGAGGTGGTTAAGGTAATAAGGTTGTGGAAAAAAAGGCCATGCTTCCATCAATCACAGACTAGAAGTGCAGGATGCAACTTCCCGAGTGCCTTAGACAGCTCTTACCAGCCAGCAATCTTGCCTCCTCTGCATTCCCTGACATAAAATTACTTTATCTGTTACACACATTGTGATTTCTATTGATCATTGAGGGTGAGCAATTATTTTCACAGTTTAGTTTTTAATTAATAAAAAAACAAAACAAACAAAACACAGTAGAGCACTAATTAAAACTTCAGCAGTATAGTAGAAAGCATTCACTTACCCTATGACAATGCAGGAGATGGCAGTTCCCAAAAATGCATAGGTTAAAATTGATCCCAAGTTACGAAAGAAATGTCTCTGGGGAGGAAAGTTTGGGGAAAAAAAAAGTCCTTTGTAATACAGTCAGTAACAGAACATTAAAACCAAGTTGCATCTAGAAGTGCCATTCCATCCATTCTTTTTCTTGCTACAGCCCATAGATATAAAATGTAACAGTATAGGCTATAGAAGTTGTTCTGGAAAATATGATTTGATTCTATTTTTTTTTTGTCTCTTGGAGTGCCTTTTCAATTCTCTCTTTTATGCATCTGGCCAAATGCTTCAGGTTCACAATAAAAGTGTCTGATATAAACTATCATGACCTTATCCATTGAGTAAGCTAAGTTTTGATCATGCAGTGTATAAAAAAATACATAGGCAGCTGCCTACTTGTAGTGTTACCAGATTCAAAGTGGCCTCTTCTGAAAATAGCAATGTCCACATGTTACAAACTGCACAATCAAATCTTTGCACTGTGACAGGGAGCAGATTGCATTTTTTACCATTCCTGTCAAGTTCTTACCGTGCAGTATATTTTTTTCTCTATTACTGGTCTGTTGGATCTAGAAAGTAGCAATCACACTAAGCCATTTCTGTAATTTAAGACAGAGGCGCTTACCTTCTTTAAACTATATCCAGCATGAAATATAATAGGTGGCAGCAAAATATTGAAGAAGATGGAAGGATCAAATGTCATCTGCCAGAAAGGACAAAAGAGAGGGTAAGGAGACAGAACGTTATTCTGAGTTCTGTTTTACATATTAACGTGTAATTCCTTATTGCTCATATATGTAAAATACTATTTGAATGTTTAAAGAAGGAAGTTGGTTATGAATATTTTAAATATACAAGTAGTGTTACCTGTGATACTGTCATTACACTACTGTACTAACCAACTGGACAGCCCCATGCTTAATTCCTGGTTCAGATGAGGGCTTTGTGCACTGTCCTATGTCAGTTCCCCACTTACTCAGCAGTGGCAACAGAAAAGATCTGCACTAGCCAAACCAAACTAATGGTTCTTTCAAAACATGTCTATATAGTTCCAAACAGAGCTAGCTAAAGTTGCTTGATGAACTACTGGCTGTCAGTTCTTTGTGATCACTCTTTGTGATTCTTGCTCCATCCCACTGTCTGGCACAGCAGCAGACAACACTTCATACTCCGTTACAGAGCTTGTTACACTTATATTCTGTGTAGTGACAACCAGGTCCTCTCTGAGTGCAGCCTGCCTGAGATGCATCTGGAACCTCATTATGTGTGAGGCACCAGACAACCTCCATCTTCTTTGTTTTGTAAGAAGTAAGAATTTATTGTACTGCCTCCTCAGTGCAAAGCTGAAACTGCTGTATGGGAAATTCACTGCAGGAATAGTTCAGAAGTACTGTTTGTAATGCTGAGCAGTTATCATTGAGCTCTTCTGATCATATCTTTTGTAACCTCAATTCACCTTGGGGCATGAAATAGAGAGAGAAAATACCAAGAAAAGCAGCTGGGAGACACCAGTAACCTTCTGAAGAGGCCCAGTTTCCTGAGCTTCCTAGACCAATTCTACCATAGCCAAGAGGCTGAGAAATGAAACTTTGTGCAGAGAACAGGGTTGAAAGTTCAGCAATCTTCTCTTTTGGGTACATAGCCAGGCTGTACACTGAGCTCTATTACAAGCTTTTAGGAATGGATGACTTCAATTTAAAAATGCTGTTACCTGCTTTCAGATATTCTGTCAATTTTATAAGAAAAGCATTTGTGAATTGAAAGTGAAGGCAGTACTAATGTTGCTATATGCCAAAGTACATTACAGAAGATTTAAACCTAGATGAGTAAGAATGACTCACGCTCCAGATCATCTCAGTATTTTGTATGTGAATAAGCAGAATTGTCCTCATCAAAACATGTGGGATCAGCATCCAAACACAAAGTGTTTCTGCAAATTTCTGTAGCTTTTGTTTCCCTGGGATATTGTACCTCTGTATGATAGAAATAAGGAGGGGATTTCCCACTCTTTAAAGCTGTTACATAAATCTTACTTTAATGAGAGGTGAAATAGCATTACAAAGATGGTACTAAGTTGGCAGGCCCTCTAAAACCATATATAAAATAATGGCCATCAAAATCCAGAGTGAGGAAACTGTTTTCTACTGAAGTTACTTAAATTCCCCTGGGAGTATCATTTCAAATATGTGCAGTTACCTACAAAACAAGACCCCAAATGATTTCTAAGTAATTGTATTCCAAGGCTTTATTTTTGTAATGTGGTGAGCTTGAACTAATTGTGGAACTTGCTAAGTAATTTATGCAGACTCTGAAGCCTCATCACCTCACACAGAGATTTATTGAATCAAATGTACTCATAAATTAGAATGCCTGTCTACTTCTGATCATTCAATCATTGGAAACTTTACAGACATTTGCAAGCAGCTGGATTTTCATGAATACTGTAATAAATTTTACTTAGAGCTATAGTAAAGATTGTCAGGAGAACACTGGGTCAATGTATTTTTCTGTGACCAATTAAAAAAAAAGCTCAGAAAAAAAGCTCCTTAGCTCTTGAAACCACTGAACTGTGTCTCCATGTCACCATTTGAAAAAAAAAAACATGAACACTGATAGAATCCCTTAGCCAAATGTTGTATACAGATTAATTACTAAATTTCAGTGAACACATAAAAAATATGCATAAAAATCTCTGCTTTAAGTGAGTTTCACAGCAGGCTGTATTTGTTTTTTTCCTTATTAACACTGTTTGCTTCTGTGTTGAAAATAGACTGAGGTCCAATTTGTTTACAATACCTTGACAACAGGTTTGATATCAGATATCAATGGCCATTTTCTGAGTTGACTCTGCTTATTTTGCCTTGTGTCATTAACAAAAATCTTTAACTGATAAAAAGAATATTGTAAAATTTACTTTTGATACTTAAGAAATTAAGAATGCTTCACAAGACAGGCAAAAGTCTGAAAAACTTCAGAAAAAACTCATGTTTGTACAGTCTGTCAGATGAAGTTACCTGAGAAGCTAATTCACGATTGTTACTTGTAGCAGTATGAACATCGTCCATTTGCAGATCAGTAGCCAAAGTAACTTTCTCCCCATTTCGCTGTAGCTATTTTTTCTTTGGAAAATTCTCAAGGCCTAAGTTTCAGCCATTGTAAAATACATTAAATTCCTTAATTTCAGAGAAACCAAATCTATACATGAGAACCATAGAGCTAATTCATTATTTCCTCTTTCAGTTACGTGGGAAATCTGCACCATCTATCCAAAGCTACAAGGTGAAATATTTAAACTGAATATCATAGAGTATGAATGCAGGGCAAATAATCTTTTTTTGTAATAAATTATGTTTGTAAGGATTTTGGCCTAGAGTATGTTCAGCCTCATTTTATTCTCTACAGAAGAAATACTTAAAGCTTTTTCACTTTTTCCTGGTGCTTTCCTACTTGCATATAGAGAAAACTGATTTCTGCCAGTTGGTAGCAAGCTCTGGGATTGTCCTTCAGCAAGAAACTAAAAGAGAACAACCTGGCTTCACCTTCAGAGAGCCGTCTTCCTGTGCTTTTCTGATCTAGTGTGGGATCAGTGCTTAGCATAAAAAGGGCAATTAGTGTAAAATCCAGGCTAACCAACTTTACCCGTAAGTGAATGGAGACTGCCTAAGAGTGGTAGAAAAAGACCAAAACACCATAGAAAACAGAGAACTCTTCAGCCACCCTATCTCATGCTTTATTTTCTGAATGCCATTGTTCAAATACTGAAGTGTCATGAAACTGTAAAATCATCCAGAGTTCACACAAAGTGCATTCCTCACCTAATACTATTCCATATACATGAAACACTAGTTGTTTTTTCTACCACAGCTAGAAACAGCAGTGCAGCTGTCAGTACACTGTCCAAGTTTGCCTTCGATTTCAGACACAGTGACCAACTTTTTGTCACCACACTTCAAGTAACTTTCAACAGAGTGCTTTTTAAAGCTGGAGAGGAAAGTATTTTTAATAAGCCTATGTACTGCTTACTGTTCTGTCAGCAGCTGTGCTACTTCAGTACCTTTACAAGAGACAGAACACAACTGGAGCAACGGCTTGCAGCTCCTTTGTTCAGATAAAGTGGTATTTTAAGGCTACACGTACTAGATCAATTATTTGGATTTGGAAGAGTGAGAGCTGCCAGAAAATGACTTCTGTCTTCTTGCTAGCAGATAGCTTC